GGCTGGGGGCCCGCGCAGGGGGCAGGGCGGGCGGCAAGGTCAGGACAGGTGGACGGCCCGAGAGGGGGAGGGCCAGGGCGGTCGCGACCGTCTCGGGGTGCTGTCGCCTCTAGTCCCTCCTGACCCTAGCTGCTGGCTCTGGGAAGGGATTCGTGACAGTTAAGTGCCGTGGCGGGGCGGGGTGGGGAGGCTGTTTTAGGCAGTCAGAGGGGGATCAGAGAAAGCCTCCCTGCCTTTGCCGCTTGCCAGGAGCCCAGATCGTCGGGGTACCACAGCAGTGTTGGGGTGGCGTCTGCCACTACCCGCCGTGCCCGATCGCGCTCGTCCTGGTAACTCGCCCTGCCCCGCGCCCTCCCGCCCGTGGCCACACGCCCCCAGCCGCGCTCTGTTCAGAGTTGAGTTCCCAGTCTCTCCCGTCACAACAGCCCTGGTCGAAACCATCCTTGCTGTTTTTAACCGCGTTCAGTGCACTTTTTTCTTTTACACATCCGTGTTCTTGTGTTGGAATTGCCAGATGACACACGGGTGATGCGGGGTCCACCTCTAGAAATTCTGACAGGCTGGACTGTCTGCAAGTCCCCCGGTGTGTCCACTGGCTAGGCAGGGCGGAGAGGCCGCTTGGGACCGGCTGGTCTTGGAGGAGCTGCTCGGGGCGCCTGTCCCTGCCCTCAGCACCCATCTTCACTAAGTCCTCACCCCAGCAGGGTTTTCGGCTGTTTTGTTTTGAAATTTCTGAACTTTGAAGTACTTTGTTCACCCAGAAAAGTCGTAAGTGAATTTTGCCCACACTGAACACATCGCGTAAGCGTCCCTCCAAACAGGAAACAGGTGATTATCAGGCCCCCAAAGCCCCCTCGTGTCCCAGGGGCTTCACTGTCTTGACATCCGACTCCACAGGTTAGCTTCCTGGTCTTTGCACGTCGTGTATAACGTGCCTGTGGATTCATCTCTGCATAAAAGATGAAAACGGCGGTCGGGTACGGGCACTTACCGTGAGTGCAGCTGGCAGGACTGGAGGCGGCCCTGGGGGCCAGTGAGTGGGTGGGGCGTCCCTGACGGCCTCGGTGGGACACTCCCGCAGAGTCTATGCACTGTGCACGAGGCTACACTGCATTCAGAACACGAGATTAAACCAAGCACAGAACGTGACGCCACCACGTGACACAGTAGACACGAGAAGGCTGCCGGTACACTGTTCACGGCAAACTTTTTATAAGCAGAAAAAGTCCATTCTAAAATAAGAATAAAAAGTATAGTATGGTAAATATACAAACCACTGACGTGTGACATAGTTGTTTATTGGCACGAAGCATTTCGGACTGGACGTCATGGCGTGTGCTGGCCTTTTACCTGACCGGGGCACAGTAAGTTTGTTTACACCAGCAGCACGCGCACGTGAGGAACGCGTCGCGCCAGGACGTCGTGATGGTGACATCACTGGCGATGGGAAGTGTTCGGCTCCATCGCCATCTGTCCTTGAGTCGATACGGGGTGTGCCTGCAAGCCGCCCCGGCATTTTTATACCTGTCCTGTCTTCTGTTCCGAAGGCCCAGCCCTTCCCCCCACCCCCCTAAAATGTGAAGTAATCTTTGCTGTTTAAGCTGATAATGTTTCAAATTAATATGTTTGTATAAAGGAAGGCTACATTATAACAAAAGAGAAAACTATAAAATTATTGAAGCTTAAAACCACATATGGACAGAGAAAATGCTACATTTTTATTTATTTGAAATGCAAAATAGCCTTGCTGCTGGTAAAAAGACCCTCTTTCAGTGGGGAAAAACACACGAAGAGACTGAGCTACAATCCTTGAGCATTTAATATCAGAGCATTTACAGAACATTCTGATTTTATTCCACAAGATAAAGTTGGGCAATAATTTTCTCTGATTTGTATGTAGATTAAAATCTCTTAGCTCCTTCAGCGGTAAACCCATTTTGACAAATAACTTATTTCGGGACCCGAACTCTCTTGGGAACTTAGAATTCACTGCCCCTCTGTCCGCGGTGTTGCCCAGCCCCACCTGCATGTTTACAAAGGTGGATGTAGCCTACACATTGCTTTCGGATTATGATCTCGGAATACAAGTGACAAACATTTAGCGATCATTTTATTATGTTAATTTACTCAGGGTGAATTAAGTTCTGAAACGACAAAAATATATTACTTATTCTGGTACCTGAAAGACAATGGAAAATATGTTAAAACATTAAAAAGTTGCAGATTTTCATTAAAAGTATTTACATTTATATTCTAATGCAACATTTATAGATACATTTTTTAAATTAGATTGATAGAATATTTTGACATTTGAAAACAATGTTAAATACAACATATTCATGAATGAAAATTCAATTAGTTACTGTTGCAAATGTAGATATTTACTGACGAATGGCCAAAGGGGCTGACAGGTGCTTTTACGTTTTTATCCTTTATTCTTGGTTAATGGCAAATCACTCTGTTAAGCTTCTAACAGCCACTGATCACTGCCAGCTGTCACTTCACATAAATGTGCGATTCTTCCGGAACCAGCAGGACTAACCTGTTCTAAATGCAGCCAACGCCATCAACTACTAAGAGTTAGTTTTACAGATTATCTTTTTTAAATTACAGTATTTAGGAAATACTGCATGTACATTTCTTACAAGTTTTGGAGAAAAGAATAATTTCTTGGTTAGTTAACTTTTCTCATGGTGGTTCTGTTTTAAAAAGTGCATCATCTGCACTTCGGAAACGGATTAGAAAATAGTGCCCAGGAGTGGCGGGAGGGGTGAAGGGCGAACAGTCAGTGCATCATCTGCACTTCAGAAACGGATTAGAAAATAATGCCCAGGAGTGGCGGGAGGGGTGAAGGGCAAGAACAGTCGATGGCGTCGCGATGTTTGCCGGTGACAGGTGAGCACTATAATTAGCGGGGCGATCACACTGTAAGGTATAAAAATGCCAAATCGTTATATTGTGCACCTGAAGCTGATATGACCAGTACAATGTTGCACACCAACTATAATTAGTAAATTAAAAAACAAAAAAACAGCCAACATCTTTTTGAAGCCGGAAAGGGCCGTTTTAGAATTATCTTGGCCTCTGTACTCGGCGCTGTCTAGTGAGCCTTACAGCTCGTCTCTCCCGCGCCTTGCTTCTTGGCAGGGTGCAGACAGGGTTAAGGGTCACCTGGCTGCTCAGTGGACCAGCAGGAAGGTATTTGTTTACCCAACAGGAGGCTGATTAGTGCAGATTCGGGTGACTAATAAAGCCAGGGGACGTACCACTCTAGTAGCTGTTAGTTGTTCACGTATTTCATTGTTTGACGTGGTGGGAGTTAAACATTTTATACGCTAATTAGGTAGCACACATGTCGTCAGCTCCACGCCCTGCTGGCTGGCATTCTGAAGCCCGTCTAGGGGGGAGCGGCAGGGATGGGGAGGGCGGGGCCGGCTCCCTTGGGGTGCTAGTGATGGGAGCCCTGGGAGCACAGGTGTGGCACAGGACGCAGGGCGCTTCGGGCAGATTGCAGACAGGCACTGGCTGTCCCCACGGGACCTGGGTGTGAAGGATGTCAAGCCACTCCCACCCGTGGGAGACGGGCTCCCAGGTCCGGTGTCGCCGTTTTAAGTGGTGTTTTGGTTTTAAGTGTCACGTGAAGTGTTTGAGAAAAGTGACCCTACAGTTCCAATCCCAACATGGTTTTCAGAGGGCAGGGCGGGCTGCAGCCAGGTGACGTGAGCGCTGGAGGGGGACAGTTCTCAGAAGCTGCTGTTTTTTAACCTTTATTTCTTGTAATAGTGGGAAACGCAGGTTCTGCAGACCCTGCCTGGGGGAAGGCACAGGCGACATGGTGCTTGCTCGCCCTCCTGTCCAGCCAGGTGCCCAGAGGACGAAGCCCGCCAAGGTTCAGAGCGACAGTTTGCAGAAATCCTCCAGGCACCAGAGAAGAGAGGGCGCCTGTTGGCACTGCCCCCCCACCCCAGCGCCCGACGGGCGGATGGCAGCGGCTCCAGACCCCCGCCAGCAGCATGGCGGGGCCCCCCCGCCCGGGCGCCAGCTCGAAGCCACGGGGGAGGGCGGTCCCGACGCGGGTTCTTTGGTCAGTCCCACACTCGGCCAGGAGCCAGGGATGGCGGGGCGGGGCGGGGCGGGGGCTCACCGCACCCAAGGGTGGCTTCCAGGAGAAGAGGGTCCCACTCGGGACGCCCGCTCAGTCCCGTGTGGCGACGGAGGAGACGGAGGTCGGCGTGTCATCGCTTGGTGTACGTCCTGCTGGAGATTTTGCTTAGGCCGCCCCTCGGGGTGGGAATCTTGCTCCCGACCTTTGCCGAGGTCCCGGACTTGGTCACGGCTGGGCTTCTACCTGCAGAGGGAGCAAGACACGCAGACACAGGCACCGCGTCACCAGGGACCAAGGCGCCAGTCCGAGCGGGAAGCCTCGGTGAGGCTTGGGGGGACGGCGACAGGCCAGTGTGTGCAGCTCCCTGCACGGGGCCCGGCACAGGCCGTTCACTGTGCTTGTCCCCACGCTCCCCACTCAGCTCCCCACACCTGAAAGTGGGCAGCACACCCCAGGTCTTCTGGTCAGGAACAATCTTCTGGTGAAAACAACCATGGTCTTGTAAGGTGTTCTACATCTGACACCAACCAGTTACATTACAATTTATGAACCAGGCCGGGGTGTCATTCCCGGTCGGTCCCGTAACTGCCTGTTCCGAACCCTCAGGGCTGGCGACACAGCTGCTACCAAGGGCCAGGCGTGCGCCCTGGACGCCCAGAGGCGTAGTCTGTTAACCCAGTGAATGCCACCGCAGAGCCTTAGGCAGGTTCGCCAAGTCTGCTGCCACGGGAGGGTGGGGACGTGACTGGCCTGCCCGTTGATCAAGGACACAGGGGCGGGGCGGGGAGCCCCAGGGGGGCGTGCCTCTGCTGGGTGGATGAGGAGCGGGAGGGGCCGCCGTGCTCACCGGGCGTGGGAGCGGGCGCCCTGCGCAGCACATGTGTCCTCCGCAGGTTCATGGCGCAGCCCGCGGGGCCCATCAGGTGGGCTTTCCAGGCCTGCAAGGAGAGGAGCAGGCGGTGTGTCAGCCGGGCCGGGCCTCGGCGCTGGTGCAGCCGCGAGACAGGCGCTGTCAGGACAAGGCAGGCAGCAGGCACAGCGCGCTCTCCCACGTGTGCGGGCGCCTGCTTGGCCTCCCGCGCTCGGCACAGGTCCCCCAGGGCCGGGGGGGCGGCCTGCCGGCATCACGTCCCTACGCGCACACGGAGCTCATTGGTGCTTGTCACCTCTGGGCACGGCAAGCTAGGACTGTTGTCACTTAAGAATGCACAGGTGTGCAGCAGTTTGGGGAGTACCCGGGCGGGAACCGTGGTGGCCCCTAGGAGTTGACAGAGGCCCCTGGTGGACAGCCAGCAAGAATACATGACGACAGAGAAGACCGCCTGCCAGCACCTAGACTGAGCTCGGAAGAGGGTGTTTTGGCTCCGAGCACACAGGTGAGCGCGTGGCCCGCCACTGTGCCACCTACGAGGACCGGAGCAGAGGGCCTGGCTGGGTCGTGTCTAGACTCAGACCCACAGACACCGCGAGGCACCAAGTGGGCGTTTAAGCCGCTAAGCACGTGGTGGTCTGTGACCAGCACAGGTGACTAGAACACGGACAAAGCAGGTGAGAAGCGGCACAGGCCTGTTGGCCTCGTCGCCGTGCTGAGAGGCTTTCACCTCAAATCAGATGGGGGGACAAAAAGTTAAGGAGAAAGAAGGGGGGCTACTAGCTAATGTCTGCACAGCTCAGAGACACAGTCAGTCCCCACGGAGAGGGGACTGGGGCGTGTGGGAGACGGCGCCTGTAAAGGTAGCAACCCCAGAAACACAGAGGCTCCCAGGTGCTAAAAACGGAGCGTGAGTGAGACAGGCGTGTGCATGCGAGAGCTGCTTCTGCAAAAAAAGGAAACCGTGAAAAATCTGTCCTCTGAGCTGGGGCGACGCGGGCAGAGGCAGGGCCAGCGGCCCTCTCTGGCCTCCTCTGAATCAGCCTCAGTTCACAGACTTGGCAGCCAATGACATGTTTTACCTAATTACAGAACTTAATTTTTAAAAAAATCTCCTAAAACTGAGTATAAAATAAACCAAACCAAAGTGTGTTCACAGTTGCTGGCAGTAACCAGAAAACAGTCACCAGTGTAACACACGGCAGAGACAAGAGAGCTGGGAACGGCATTAAAGTGCCCTCCAGCATCACTCCACGGCCGGCAGTGCCGGCCCCGCCCGAGCCTGCCCACGTGTGCGGTCGGGCGAGGTAAACGAGTAACGGGGGGCGGTCTAACGGGGACATCTCCAGGGGAAATCTCCTAAAACTGAGTATAAAATAAACCAAACCAAAGTGTGTTCACAGTTGCTGGCAGTAACCAGAAAACAGTCACCAGTGTAACACACGGCAGAGACAAGAGAGCTGGGAACGGCATTAAAGTGCCCTCCAGCATCATTCCACGCCGGCAGTGCCGGCCCCGCCCGAGCCTGCCTACGTGTGCGGTCGGGTGGGCGAGGTAAACGAGTAATGGGGGGCAGTCTAACGGGGACATCTCCAGGGGCTCGAGAAGCGGGTCCTAGCAGGGGAGGGAGGTGACACAGACGTGAGACAGGAGAGGTGACAGAAAAGTCACGCAGCCAGGAATCGGAACCACAGTGCGAGTGCGAACCGACGAGGTGTTCATCGCGACCTTCGCCTGCTCCGTCTGCCGAGGGGCCTCGGACCGGCTGACCTGGGAGCGAGCGGCATCTGCGACACCTGACGGTGGCCCTGAAGTGCCAGCTCCCGGGGAGGGGGCGGGGCCCCTCGCAGAAGGGGCTGCCCCGGCGTGGGGCCTCCCAGGGCGCCAGGGACTCCGAGTCCCTTCGGGGCTGTGGGAAGAGGCTCCCTGGCTAGAGGTGGGACAGTGGGTGCATCACGCAGTGTGGTGACCCCAGATGGTGCCAGCTCACAATGACCTCACGATGACGCTCAAATAAAACAAAACAAAGGGCAGTGACCCAGACTGCAGCTTTGAAAACTGGCAAACAAGGGGGAGAATGAGACTTTCTCCGGCCTTCCCAGGACCAGGTTCGGCCAGGGCGGCCAAGGAGCAGAGTGGAAGCTCCTGCCTCGAGCGACAGGCCAGCTGATGCGTGGAGCAGCAGCAGAACCAGGGTGTCTGGACCTCGCAGTCCCCGGAGGTCGGGATCTGGCCAGAGTCAGCAGTTGCTAAAGTGCCCCTGGCATGTGCTTCCTTACAGGAGAACCCACCGTGTCCGCAAAGAGAACCGACCAGGTGACACCTGCACCCGACTGGGCCTGCAGCCCCGCGCGCAGGGGAGAGTCAGTCCGCAAGCAGACTGTGGCAAACCCTGGACCAGCGGCTCCTCAGTGGAGCAGGACGGGGTGTGAAGGGTCTGAGAGCAGCTGGGGGCGATCTGCGCCCTCCAGTCTGTGAGGGTTCAGTGGTCGGACGCGGAAGGCACGCAGGTGTCGAGCTATCTCGCTGGCACCTCATCTGCAGGGCTGGGACAAAAGCCCAGCAGCAGTGGTCGGACGGTGGGTGGCAGTGGCTAAGGCGATTAAAGCAGTGGTTGAACCAGAAGCAGGTCACTACAGCGGGGTCCTGGCGGGGCCCTGAGGCTCCGCGCCGGCCGCCTGGCACGTGAGGGCAGCTCCTGCTGTCACATTAGCCGGAGCAACCAGCACAGAGCTCCTGATGCCCTCTGGTCCCTGTCCCGAGCCCCAACACGGGAGGGAGACGTGGCCCCTCCCACACCAAGCCAACAAGGGAGAGGGGACAGTTTGGAGTGTCCAAACCGGACGGGGCTTAGTTTCATCACTCAAAAGAGACCGGAAGGTCACAGATCTGGCCAAGACGCCAGCTAGGGTCCCAACGCGTCAATAAAAGCGAAGCCTGGAAGAAAATGGACCTGCTTCGCGCTTGTGTCCCCAAGAGTGGAGCCTCCCACAGAGACACGGGCGGAAGCTTCAGGAGGCCCGCACGTGGACGCGTGGTGATGGAGTGTCCGTGCAGGCAGCGCTGGCACGGGACCCCGGCCCACCCCGCTCGGGTCCCTCACCTCCTCTCCAGGTGCGAAGTTCTCGTGGCACAAAGGACAGCGGTTTGCCAGCTTCTCTGGTTTGGCAGCTGAAACGGTTTCAAGTCAGTGAGGTTTAGTTAGTGAGTCCTGTGAAACCTTAGCACGGGGCAGGGACACAGGGTGGAGCCCTGATGCCTGCGGACGCCGGCCCTGCCCGTCCCACAGCCAGGAGCGCTCGGGACCAGGGGCCCTGGGGGACACCCAAGACCTGGGGCACTGGGAGGACACCAGGACAGGCACTGGGGGACACCCGGGACTGGGCGCCCCCGCGGGCACTCACGGCTGCAGTCTTTCGCTCTCACGTGACTGGGCAGCTCATCCTTTAACACGGCCTCGCTGCAGCGGAAACACTGCCCGAACCCGTCCTTTCTGTCGCACTCTGTCAGCAGGTGCTCCGTCAGGCTGGCTATCTCCACCACCTGGACCCGAAACACAGAGCGCGGCACGGAGCTGGGGACGGCGCTGCGCGTCCCGCCCCGGGCGCCTGCCCTGTGAGCTCGGCCCTGTCCCGTCGCACAGCACCCTGCGCGTGGCAGTCAGCGCGCACGTCATCGCCGGCGCCCACCCCGCAGAGCTCCTGCGGCCGTTTATTCGTGGCGCTGAAGACCCCGTGGCCGTCGGGCCACGTCACCTTAGTAGTGTGCAAAGGCCGTTGCTAAGGGTGGGGCTGGGGAGAAGTGCGGCGTGACACTTGCGTTAGGGGGCCGAATGGCTCAGGGGTCACGTGTCGCCTTGGGGTTCAGATCCTGGCTCCCGCCACCTCTGAGGACGTGCGCGGGAACAGGATCGCAGGGGACTCATGCTGCTCTCGCCGTCGTGACGCCTTGGGCGGGAATGACCTATGCGCACCCCAAACCTCACGCCATGGACGCGTGCCCCCCGCCACAGATGCAGCCGCCTGCGCGGGGGTCGGGGGTGTGCATGTGACCCTGCACTGGTGGCCACTCGTGCTGGAGAGCCCCGAGGGGGCTCAAAGTTCATTTCCCTCGCAGTTGTCCTTCTTTACCAAAGGTCCACTGCTTCAGAGAGAGACCGGACTTCGGGACAGCGGAAGATGTAGGCGGGACGCAGGGGGCGCCACCCGTGAAGAGGCTGACGGGCGGGCAGCACCGAGGGCAAGGCTCCCGTGACTGACGGGCACTCGAGACGACGAGCGGCCGGACAGAGAGCGGGAAGGCGGCACGACGCACGTGACCGGCCGAGCACTCGCAGCCAGGTGTGCAAAGAGCGAGTGCGGATCAGTAAAAAGTTTGAGGGCAGCTTAGAAACGGGCAGGAGACGAGAGGGCTTCACAGGAGGAGGGGGGCAGTGCCACCCATCACCAGGACACGGAGCGCTGCCCGCCTGGCTCTGCAGCTGGACACGGGCGCGGCCAGGGGCGTGTCACACGCACGCGTGCGCCAGAGCACGTGCGCAGGACCCTCCGCAGCGTCACCCACACGGTCTGCACCCCGGACGCGGGAGAACGGGTGGGCGCGTGGAGACACGACACACGAGAAGCCCGAGCTGCCTGGCTCCGCCGACCCGCAGCGCGCGGAGAGGGAGCCGTGGGGGCAGCGGGCAGGACAGGGTGACCTGGGGGGCGGGGTGGGCTCCGAGGGCCGCCCGGGTGGGGCTGCTCGGGAGTGCTCATTTTGTGACGAGGACTGAACTGTGACTCTGACGCTCGAGCATTTCTAAGTGCGTGATCCTTCAAGGAGGAGGCAGCACCCCACAGCAGCACGGGGTGACAGCATCCCCGCGACTCTTCTGCACCTTCTCCCCTGAGAGCACCGAGCCCCGCGCCCAGCGCCTGACCTGTCTGCAGTGGTCGCACCGCGTCAGCATGAGGCAGTGCCTCCAGTAGTGGAGGTCCAGGCCTTCGTCTGTGAAGGAGTCGCTCCGTTCCCCGCAAAAAATGCACAAACTGAAACAGAACAGAGACGGCGGGGTGCAGGCTCAGGCCTAGCTCAGACGTCACACCCGTCACACCCATATGACTCTCCCTCTCCTTGCTGGTGGCCTGGCCGGCCCTGGGAGGGGCCGCAGAAGGCCGGACGGCGCCCGTGGCCCGTGCTGAAGCGCCACGGAGGCGGCTTCCCGCAGCCGCGTGCGGGATAAACTCTGACTTCGTCAGGACGATGGAGCAGAAAGGGCGCTTTGAGTCTTTCCCTGGGTTCCCTGGTGATTCGCCTCGGCTCCCCACAGGGACGAGGCTTGGCTGCTGCAGCGTCTTGTGGCGGGCCTAGCACTTGGACAAGTGGGCTGCTAACCTCCACTGGGGCGCAGGGAAGAAGGGGCACCTTGACCGCCCAGCGTTAATGCCGGTTGGTTTGGGGAGCAGCCCCCCAGATTTAAAACCTGCCAAAAGAACCAAGTGGTCCCCATGGCCGTGAGCTGGGAGGAGGGGCTCGCTGCACAGCGTTCACGCGTGCTTGGTCCCTGACCGCCACGCCGAGGGTGATGACCGCTTTACTCACTTGTCCAGACAGTGATCGTCTGGGACTTCCGGAGCCTTAGGTGGGGCCGCTTCCCGCCTCTGAGCATCTGGAAAAATGAAAGGGGACGCAGTTTAAATAACGTGTGCGGAACCTATTTTCAAAGATTTAGTAACCAGCTTTTTAAAAATTAGTAACCAGTATGCGAAACGCAGTTAAAAATATGCAAGTTAATGCAGGCGGGAGGGTTTACATGCCGCCCGAAATGCGCCGGGACGCAGTGGGCGGACAAGCGGTGGCCAAACGGACGGCAGCGGCCCCCACATGGCCTCTCGACCGCGGCTCACGTACCTGGCTTCTCTGCTTTCGTGGCCTGGCTTCCTTTGTCCTAAGACAAAAAACCAGAAGGATCAGTGACAAGTGGGTCTACCTATTCTTAGGTTTCGTTCCAGAATTTCTATCAACGCACAACAGGACTGAGTCGTCAACACTCGGTCTGCAGCTCCCCCTACCATGCCCCTCCCTCCCTGCTGCTGTGCAACCCCAGAGACCGCGCTCCGTCACGGCCACCACCTCCTCCAAGTGGCTCACCCATCAGCAGTGTCCACCCTCACCTCCTGTGGGCTCGGCAGCCCTTCACCCCTTCTTAGCCCGGCTCCAGGGCGCCCCACGTGTGTTTCCCCAGCTTCCCTGGCTGTGCCTTCCCGGGACTCAGCCTGTCCCCTGCAGCTGCCTGTACCCACTGCAACGTGCCCCGCCAGTCCCCAGCCTGGCACAGCCTTGGCGCGGTGGCCCCAGGCGCCTGCCGTCAGCCTGGCCCTGCTGCTCACGCAGCGTCTCCAGGCGGATCTCAGAGCCATGCTCGGCCACACTGGACCAGCCCCCTACGGCCTCCTAGGTCATTGTCCCAACGTGCCTCCCACGTCCATGTGGTTCCCTGTGCCCCGGCCGCCCGGCTGCCAGCTGTCCCTCCGCACACGGCCCTCACACTCGCGGTTCTCAGCCATTTCTCCAGTCTGTCTTGTCCACTGTCCCCACTGTGAGAGCTGGAGGGCCGTGAGGGCGTTCCTGTCTGCATCCCCAGTACCCCCAACAGTGCCCGGCACACAGTACGCTGATGACCGACGAGTGGTTCAGGCCGGGGTGGACCCCGCAGCACAGGCAGTGACCTGTCCGAAGGGCCTCGGCCTTACTCCTTCCCTCCCTGTGCTCTGCTGAGCTGGTGACACAGGTGGGTTTCAGTGGACTGGACAGGAGCGGGGAGCTGCTGGCGGCACTTTCACCCGTGATTACGGGCTGTGGTGGCACCCGGTGGGACACGGGGCACGTGGAGGCACGTGTGGCCCGCAGCAGGCTCTGGGCCCGGCCTTCCTGCCGCAGCCCCCCACTCTCAACCCTGAAACTGGCAAAAGCTTTCTCGAGCCTTCTCCCGGCTACCCAGCCTGCTAAACGCCACGGTCGTCTCCGCAGACGCCGGGCCTGCATTTGGCCCACGCCGCCCAGGGGGCAGGCAGCCCGGCCGGGGCCGGGGGTCCAGGGCTTTGGGCCGTGCAGGAGGGCGAGACCACTGGGCCCCTATACACAACACATAAGTGGTCATCACACACACGGGCGCTGTCTGCTGTGCCTGTAAAAATCACATTTCACGTGACAGTGACTAACTTCTCTCAAACCCAACCACTGAAAGTGGAAAATGCATCCTAGAACACAGTCTCACAACTGGGAAAGACCTCATGGGTGAATATTAAACTCACGAGCAGCGTTCACTAGATTTGTACACCTCATGGGTGAGTGTTAAACTTACGAACGGCTCACCAGATTTATACGCCTACAGAGTACAGAGAGCAAACTTACAGTAACTGGATTCTAGGCATCACGAAAATTCCTATTAACGTAAAAGGAATTTGCATGTTTTGCAGTAAGACAATATAAAATGCCAAAAGTAAAATTTTAGTCTAAAATTTTGCTTTATCTATGCTTTGAACAGCTTAGAAAAATTATTAGTAATTTTTAAATCCGTTTTTTCCTAAAACTCAGGAGTAATCGGAAATGTTAAAAATGTTGTCGTCTCAGGTTTTGGGTGTGGATGGTCCTGATGGTTGCGACAGCACGGACGTGCTTAACGGCACGGAACTGTACACTTCAAACGGTTAAAGTGGTAAATTCTGTTACGCATAGTTTACTACAATGGAAAAACAGAACAGGTTCCTCGCTCCCAGGCCGGACACCTTCCCTGACCGTCTTCGGACAGCGGGCCGGCGTCCAGCCCCTTCCTGCACGCCCGCACCCGCCACGCCTGTGTCCGCGCTGCCGCTTCCTCTTTCCTCCTGGAGCGTCGGCCCACGAGCGCGGGCCCTGAGCGCTGCCTGCTGCAGTCCCCGACAGTCCCAGAGCCAGGTCGCCGCTGGCACGCGGCAGGGGCTCCACGCTGGATGAACGATGAGGCGCTGGCCGAGGCCCCCCAGGAGGGGTGAGGGCGATGACCCACGTGCCATCACCACAGACCTCCGTGAGGCCGGGCTGCATGCAGGAGGGTCATTCACACAGGGAGGGAGGAAGGGACCATCCCGGCCTGAGCACGGACCAGTCCATGACCTTGAGTAAGTCACTGTTTTCTAAGCTCTTTTCTTCCCTTGCACGACATCGGGGACGATAAGTAACACCCGCTGACCTGCGGCGGTGACCGCGAGTTCGACGATGCCCGAGAGCTAACACGCCATGAAGCTGCGAGGCCGCCAGGCTCTGCCGCCCAGCCCCGGACCCCGCGGCCCTCCCATTCCTGGACGGCTGCCTCTGACCCTCCAGCACCGAGCTGGAGCCTTCCTGTGGCTTTGTCACAGGCACGTTAACACACATCCAGCCATGTTTTCCTTCTCGCTCATTTACCCTTTTCGGCGAGGGAGTGGTGAGAACGCTGGGCGTGACCACCCTCCCGACAGCAGGCCTGCGGGTAGGCCGTGCGGGCGGGGCGGGGCCTCGGGGACCCACTCGTCCCTGAGCAATGCCCCGCTCCCTCTCCCTTCTTTCTCTAAAAGGAAGTTTCTCTCAGCTTAAAGGCACTGGGTCACGAAGTCGGGGCACGAAACTGAAATCCCAGGAGCCGGCGGCTGAGAAGGAGCACGGGTCTGCTCCGTGCAACGCGGTCTGATGCCACGGCGGGGCCCCCGCAGGCCCGGGCTGAGGGCTCCTCCGTGTGGACCAATTGCCTGCAGCCTCCCTTTCTGACGCGTGGGAATCAGAGCTCCACGTTCAGGCTTATTTTTCCCACCGCCTCTGACAGAGGTGGGGGCTGCGGGAGGGAGCGGCCCCCACAGCCTGTCTGCTCTCCCCAATATGAGGAGCATGCAAACTGGCTGACGAGGGTGCCCTTCAAGTGCCCCAGACTGAAAAGCAACGAACAACAAAGACGCCCGTCCGCCTGTGCCACGCAGAGGGGGGCCAGTGCCGCAGCCACATGGTGGAACAAACCTCACGAGCTCCGACCCCCAGCGCAGCGCGGGGGAGCCGGCTCACCTCGCCCACGACTCCCGCCTGCGTTTCTGTCAGCGCTGCCAACTGCCCTTGCAAAACTTTAATTTCTTCTTTCTTCCGTTTTTCTGCTTCCTCTGTAGCCGCTTTTTTCTGTGCCTGGCACGAAAATTATTTTTCTATTAGAATAGCTTTTTAGGATAGTCTTAGAAATTGGGAGACGAATTATGGTACATCGATTGTGTTTTCTAAACGCCATGACAGTCACGGAGACAGAGCACGTAACTAGGGTTAAAAGTAAACCACCAGATTAATTTAACAAACGTTTACTGACAGACAAAGCTGAAAACGTCCTCACGCCGTCATCATCCCTGTTTACAGACGAGGACGCTGAGTCACACAGGCAAAAGGGACAGCGCCGGGGTCTGAGCCCAGGGACGCAGCGTAAGACACGCCGCTCCTCGAACGACCTGTCCGTTCATCCGCGTGTCAAGCCGCGTCTGCGACGCAGGCCGAGGTCGCGATTTCAGACGCTAACTCACCCTCACTTCGGCATCTGTGGGCCTGCCCTCTATTTTGGCGAAGCCCTCGAAGAGCGTTTTGTAGAGCACGTTCCTGCGTGCAGCGCAGTCGTCTGGGGGCAGGTAGTCCAGCACAGGAGCCCGGTGCTGCTCGTACATGTCCAGGATCACGCGGACCGCCGTCTCCCGGACCTCGTACACTCTGTGCTCCAGGGCGCCCACCGCGAACTGAAAACAGAGTGGGGAGAGCTTCCTGGTCGTCTCGGCTCTTAAAACAAGGAAGTTTGTTTTTGCATCAAAGAAACACAGACACGTTACCGACATTTGGAAAATAGAGAACGTCCACAGAATGCCAGCTACTAAGATAGTTTTCCTCACTCCGATTACCCTCCACACACAGGTGAGCGCGTGCCGGGTACGCAGCGTGTTTGGCTTCCTTGCACGTACGTACTAACAAGCAGTTCTTAGATTACACCCTTCCGTAGCTTTACATTGTTACGGAACGTTGCAAACACAGAGAAGACGAATTATAATAAACGTCAGGGATCCACCATCCCGATGAACCCGCGTTATCATTTGCCACGTTTGTTTGGGACCTTATCGGTTTTTAGCAGTAACACACTGCCCATCGTGCTTGTCCCTTGTCCGTGTCCCCTGCCCAGGTCCCAGGGCCCACAGTCTTCTCGACCCCCTTGGAGGCGTGGCCCTGCCGGAGCCGGCATGCTCCTCTCCACGAAGGGCACACGTTCGTGAGTGTGCACACAGCTTTTTGATGCTGCGAACGGCGCACGGAGCTCATTGATCTGGAACTTTCTTTGCTCCTGCCCAGCATCGCGTCTGCATGACCTGAACATTCATCCGCCACGCTCCACTCCACTCCCCCGAAGCTCTACGGCATTGTCACACGGCCACTGCACCACACATTTACCCCGGCCCAGACTGAGGACACCTCCCGACTGTCCTGTGGGCGCCGGTCCTGGACTCCTAGACTTCTTCGCTCCCCGTGGCCCCCACCTGACCTTGGCATTCGCGGCTGCCGGCACCTCTGGAAGCACTGACCAGAAGGAAGCCCCCGCCATCGTCACCTCTACCTCTCTGGCTCACGTTGTGTTCCTGTCCCCCGACCACTCAAACCCCTGGGACCCGAGTCCTCCCTCCCTACCCCACAGTCTTCTCCCATGTGTCCCTTCGCTCAGATCTCCACTGCCCTATGTCCAGCCCTAGGTCCATCACAAAGTCGACGTGCAGTCGCTTGCGCCCTCAACACCCGGGCCCGTCCTGTGTCCCCAGGCGGAGCGGGCTGTGGCAGCGGCCTGCTTCATGCTGGGCTCTCACCCTGGGCTCGCCCACCGGCCACAGCATCTTTGGCACTGCACAGCTGACCGGCCTGCAGCGTCACCCCTCAGACGTCTGCGCGTGCTTCCTTCTCGCCTCTCAGGCCTCCTCACCTGTTCTCAGCTCTGAGCTGACACCGTCCGCCAGGGGGCTGGCAGGTCGCCACCCCGCTCAGAGCTGCCCTTCAGGGTGTGTGCCAAGCCCTGTCCCCGTGGCTACTCAAGGATCTTGCTCTGGCCTAGTTCCTTCTTTACTCGTCCCTCCTCCTCCGTCTGGACCCACACCGCCAGCATCTCCACAGGCCGACGTGGCCGCACACTCAGGACACTGGCCTCCTGACCCACGTCAGCACACGGCCTCCTCCCGGGGCCCAGAACTGGGATGGGACCCCCTTGGTCAATGGCAACAGGGGTGGGGCAGGCTTGGCTGGAGCAAACCTCCACTCACAATCCCCTAGTCACCTTGTTTACTTAGTGACCTCAGAGATCACGTGTGAAAACCGGTAACATCACACTCGGAGGAAACGGAGTCCCTGAACACCTGCACGGAGCAGAGTGCCTCTGTCCTGGAAGCGCACTGCACGGTGACGCTGGACCGAGATGGGCCACAGGAAGCTGTCACTGTGTCACATGACAGGAATTTCGGGGCCAGCTGCGCGGCACAGCTTACCTAACGCACTCTAAGTTGTACCCTGCAGTGGGCGCTGCCACACAAAACCGTGACCACGTGGCAGGCTTCACGTTTCTGTGGTAGGGACAAGGACGGCGAGCCTGCAGGCAGGGGCGGGGGCAAGGGTGGCCATGGAGCATCCATGAGGCGTCTGTGACATGATCCGGGTAAGGGGGATGGTGGCTGGAGCCCGTGGTTAGTGGAGTGTGACAGGCCAGGGTCTGGACGCACCCAAAGGGAGCGCCCACAGCATCTGCTGATGGAGGTTTGGGACAGAGGAAGGGGGCAAAGCCGACTCCAAGGCCTGCGCCCCGAGCACACGGGATGGGACTGCCGCTGCCGAAAATGGGGGGCCGAGTGGGAGCAGGTGGGAGGGCTGGGGGCTTGGCCTGGACACCGGGAGCGCGCATCCTGGCACCCACGGGAGACGTTGCGCACGAGGACGAGTCAGACGGGCAGGGGGCTGAGGCCGGGGCCTGAGCCTCCCGCGGCAGGTGCTGGGGTGCGGGTGAGAGAGCCTGCTGCGCCCCGGTGTGCAGCGGCACGTGGAGAAGTGTGGGCAGGGGCCTGGGCCGCGGCCTGCGGGCTCTGGAGCCTGGGCGGCATGCCAACGCGCACTGCTATGCGCACAGCTCACGGATGCAGCAGCCCGTACGCGGTCCCTGCAGACCGACGACGTCAGGTCCATGGGTGTGTGCAATCCACAGAGGAGACAGGTGACGTTTACGTCACACCACGCCGCCCAGGCCGACCCCCACAGGAACGCACACGACACCTGACACGTGGGAGGGCCGGCCACACGGCGAGCGCGTTCCACCCGCACGGCTGGCCAAGAACCTGACCGTGCCTACGCCGTCCGCCGCGCATCTCAAATCCTGAGGGCACGTCTCGCTGGCAGGAAGTCTCTCTCCTGTAACTTCCATGGTCTCGTCAGGTTGTCCAACGCACAAAAAATACACCTGATACTCCCGCACACGGCGGGTACCTCTTATGGGTGTGCGGTCTGTATACTGGCTGACCGGCACGGACGAGGGTCTGTCCGCGTCGCATACCAGCTCAGGGAACCGCAGACCGCCGGAGGCCTTGCGGGCACTCCTTCGTTGGGTGGGGCAATGCGGCTTCCCTGCAGCCCCTCATTCATTCACTCGACAAACACTGTGGCGACACCTCTCCAGGCACCATCTCAAGTTCTGAGGCCCGGTGGAGCATCGCACAAGGCGTGCCGCGTGCAATGCGCTTACCTTCATCACGTCATCCACGGTGAAGCCCGAGCCCTCGGTGCCCAGGTCTTTGAGCAGCCGGGCCAGGAGCTCCATCCGACTCGTGGCCAGGTGAGTGGGAGCGTTCGCTTTTAATGGCTGGACCAAGTAAGAGGGAATCATTTGGAGAGACTTAACTTCCTTAAACAAGGCCATCTCCTGTAAAAACCAACATAACTCATTAATTTTTATGGGAAAATGCTAGAGGCAATTTAGTATAATCCTCAAGGTAAACGCTGAAGGAAAAACCAGGCAAGAAAAAAATAACATTTCCTCAATTAATAAAGTAATTTAAAAAAATGACAGTGACAAATGGTAGTAAAATCACTGATCAGCGAGGTCACCTTTCTACTGAAAATAAAATAATGAGTAAAGACAAAAACCTGAAACGTGAGGAATAAAACCATCATCACCCAGAGATTAACGAAAGCTTTAGAGAAAACATGATTGAAAACTTAGGGTTTCTCTTCTCAGAATTTCTCGACCTCAGGAAAAACGTTTTCTATTTTCTGAAACTCTCAAGGAAGTGCTTTTGGGGCATCGCTTTAGTGTTGATTAAATGCCAGCTCAGAGCGAAACGTGGGCGATGCTGCAGTCGACGAGATCATTCGTGGGCTCAGATGGAAAACATAAGTTCGTCCCATCGTTCACATCTCCAAACACACACCTCTCCACAGCCCGGGTTTGAAAAAGATCGACACGTACAATGATGCATGACGATCACTGAGTTAGTCTGACACAGAAAGGACAAAGCACTGAAGCATGAAAGTTCAACACGGAAAGACATCTGTCTTTCACAGGTCTGCAGGTCTCACCCCCTAAATAAACACCTCATTTACCAGCACGATTCACTTACGTTTGGGCCTATGAGTGACTACAAACACGAGAGAAAGAAGGTGAGCACTCATCGTGGAAGTACGAGCAGGCAGCTCCCTAAATGACAGCCGTGTGAATTCAAAGGCAGCCCACTGGCTTGCTGGTGCCGGCCACAGTATTAACCTTGTGATCTCCTACTACGACCATCTCAAAGAGAGAGGAGATTGCAGCACTTGCAAACTACTCAGAAATCAACTCGGCTTAAAAACAATGAAATGAAAATGTTTTCATTTTCAACATCTTTTGAAAGATGACATCTCCCCCCGGTTCCAAGCTACGTTAACAAAGAGTGTATCGTAGAACTTGAGGGCGGCTGGTTTTCACCTTACTGGTGTTACTGACTCATTTTCCCTGAAAACTCGTTTATGACACAGAACGGGAGCAATGAGTCTTCCTGGTGAAGTGACCCCTTCGAGAAATTCTGAAAGCTTTGGAACCCCTTTCAGGAAAGGTGTGACACTCACGACATTTTATGTAACATTTTAAGGAATTCGCGGGTTTTCTGAAGCCCAAACGTGGGCCTTATGAGACCTCCCAGGCTAGATGAACTCATTAGCTACTTTAAAGCAGCACGACACCGCCTCACGCTGCTGGTGCAAGAGCGACACACTGCGCCCAGCACCGCCACACCCCGGCCCGGCGGACGCCCGCTCGTCCGATGAAAGAAAACGTTCACACCAAGACGGTTACGCTGATTTCTTTTAGTTCTGATTTTCTATTCTGATTTAGTTTTCCACGTAATTCTATTATTTCAAAATTTAATAGCATGTGTTGAATCAGAGAAACACTTGAAAAACCCAATTCTACCTTTTAGTCAATGTTTACGTCTCAGACAAAACTGACCTTCTGGAGCACAAGTACAGGAACGACGCCCGAAGGATGAGCCGTCGCGCTCGGGGCCCAGGCGGGACCCTGGCATGCGCCTGAACAAGGGTGGACCTCTGCAGGACCTGCTCGTTACCGACAGGTTCAGGTCTCACGGCGGCTCTCATACCTGAATAAAATTTGAAGCCACAACCCGGAGACGAGCAGAAGAGTCTCCCGTTCTGGTGAGCAACACGGGGATCGTTCTTTCCACGCAGTGCATTGTCTCGAGCTTGCCCAGTTTGTGTTTAGGAATATATTGTGTGATCACCATTTTCAACAACTTTAAAGAAGCCTGAAAGACCTAAGAAAAAGGTGATGAAAGCAGATGAGCTACTCTAATTGAATCTCACTCACGGTAAACACGAGACTGACCACTAGTAATAAACAGGACCGTCCAACTGAGAGTTACACGCTGTCTGCGGGGCTGGAAACGGGAAACTGAAAACTGGTTTCTAAACACAGCGCTGTGCTCTCAGTGCGTGGTGTCACCGCACTTGGCACTGCCCGCGATCTAGCGGCCCTGCTTAGCTGCACGAGCTCCGGGGGGGACCACGGGCAGGGATGTCACCGCGATGTTCATTCTCAAGACCCGTGCAGGTCGGGGAAACTCAGCGGGAACTCTCAAGTTCCTCGAGTTTCATGAGAAACAGACGTGAACTGCTCGCTTAGGAGTCGCGCTGCACTAGCCTCTGTGATCGCTGGCGCTGGAGCACAGACAAGGCGTGTTCGAAACCGGGAGGGGGACGATGAGGGGCGGCACACAGGCTCTTTGTGGCTGCCTTTCCGGAGCCTTAATCCCCAGCGACACCGCTGGGCTGGCAGACAGCGATGCCACGACCGGGCGGCTTCTCGGGCTGCCGTGACCTCCTGGGGAACATTGGGGCATCCCACTGCACGTGCCGGGACACGGGATGGGGCTCACCGGGGTCACGATGTCTCTGATGGCTCGTCGGATGAGGAAGACGGCCGCCCGCAGCAGGCCCCGCAGGTCTTCCTTCGGGGTCCCCACAGGCGCCTCCATCAGCCGCTTGTGCAAGGCGAGCAGGGCGGCCTCCCGGTGCGACCACGTCCTGGAGTAGGCCCCCGCGACCTGCCACAGCCAGCCCCGTGCTCAGCGCGGGCGGGCCCGCGACACCATGACACCCCGCCACCCCGCACTGCGCCTCCGTTCCTGACAGTGGGAGCTCCGCGGGGCCGCGGCCCCGTGCTCAGCGCGGGCGGGCCCGCGACACCGTGACACCCCGCCACCCCGCACCGCGCCTCCGTTCCTGACAGCGGGAGCTCCGCGGGGCAGATGTGTGCACTCAGAGGAATACGGTTTCTCACACGGGAAAGTTAAGACTGTTTGGAAGACAGAATGTGTCCCCAGCTCCACCATGAGCGGTACTTTCAAGCTGGGAACCAGGAGATCCGCCGGGCCCCGGGACAGAAGGGAGCTGAGCTCCGTGAATACCCAGGGGGGTGAGACGCCCACTGAAATGAACACGCACTCAGGGGACCTTAAGTTCCAGCTTATGTTTCTGCTGCTCCACGTGGTCAGTAATCACCGAGGGACCTTTCGGTTGGACCACAAGGACAAAAGGAAGTCAACCAAGTCACCAACACAGCCTGGGGCTCTCCCCGCCTCTGTCACAGCAGGGGGAGACCTGGGAGGTGCCGAGAGCGGGAGGCTGCAGCCAGCGCCCCATCACCCCGTCACTGTGCACAGAGGCGGAAGTGGACAGCGAGGAGGCGGAGGGGAACACACTGGCCCCCTGGGAGCTCGGGCGGGAGGGGACGTCTATGGGTGGGAGGAGACGTCTGCGGGCCCCTGGACCTCCCGGAAGACGGACGAGCCGGCCCAACTCAAGGGCCAAAACGGCAAAGCGGAAGCTGTCCTACTCGGGTGCATCACGAGAAGACAGGGTTCTCTGGAAGAGGCCATGCGGGGAACATGGAAGGCAGTTGGAAGGCGGGGCGGCCGCATGTGACACGAGTGACTCCGCAGAGAGGCCAAAGGGAGTCTACAGGGTGGGAGTCTACAGGGCTGGGCGGGGCCCTGGGGACAGGACACCATGGATGCCGCCACCCACAGGATGGCCGGACTCAGCCACGCCCACGCGCGTCACCTCCCACACACGTGCTGCTTCCTTTACCAGCGTCTCTCCCAGCACGTCCACGGCCGCGCTGGCTTCCCTCAGGGCCTTCTCGGTCAGCGGCTCCGGCTCGCCTGCAGCGCCCCCTCTGGGCGCCTCGCTGACCTCCGCATCACTCTTCTCTGGCTCCACGGCTGCGACCCCCGGCGGCTTGTGGACAGCGGGGAGAGGCCGCTCGTCGTAGGGCAGGGCCTCCAGCTGCAGCGGGTAGAGGAAGGGCGGCTGGTGGCAGAGCCCCTGAGTGGACCCAACACACACCGTCTACACTGCAGGATTACTGCTCTGGACTTACCGGGTCCGAACACAGGTACTTTGCTAAATACCAGTATCATCAGATCAGAATAACTTATACAATAGGAGGTAACTAAACACTCAGGCCAGGGTTTCCAGCCCTTTCTGAACTCATTATAGGCCCCGAAAGTGACGTAGCTGCCGCCTGTCACTCCTTACTGCTCGCAACTTCAGTTCAGCTGACGAGTGGGCGACTATAGTAAAAGCTATTATGTTTTTTTCCGACAAGACCTCTGTTGTTTTCTTAGTTTACGACTTAGAAGTAAGTGTTGAGCCTGAGTTTAAAATGTCCAGTACTCACTGTCCCCACTAACACAGCCCCAGCTAAGGTCCTCTGCGGCCTTCTCCGCAGAGGCAGTGGTCTGTCCCGTGCCCCGTTCCCTCAGCTGACGCCGACCGCACGGACCGTGCCAGGCCCTCGTGCCCCAGCAGAGCGTGGGGCAGGTGGACCCTGCCCTCATGGCTGGGACTCCGCGGGGCACAGAGACACCGAGCAGAAAACACGTAGAGCTTTCGGG